AAAGAAGATAACATGTCAAAAAATAAGTTTATTTAGGTAGAATAGGGACTGTGCAATTAGAACTTTATACAACACCTAATGGAGATTCTATTCTTTCTTCAAAACCTTTTTGTTATTTTACAATAGATATTAGTTTAGGACATAAACATCACAAAGCCTTTTCCTTATTAAATTTAAGAGCCTCAATTTGTTTTTTAAATGAAGAGTTTGTTAAAAGACATAATATATCTTTAATAAAAAAAATAAAACATATTCATGTAGAAGTCATAGATGGTCGTCTATTGTCTTCTAGAAATATTATTTATGAAACATTTCTTTTAAAAGTGATAATTAATAGTCATAGTAGTTTTGTAATATTTAGTATTATTAAATTTCTTTTTAATTTAGTCATTTTAGATTTATTATAGTTAAAAAAAATATAATCCTTGAATAGATTAGATTTCTAGTAGTCTTGATTTTTTTGAAGTATAAGTAAGAGTATAGTTCATCAAGTAGAAAGTCATAAGTCTAGTACAACCAAATTTGTATTTATATATGCAAGAACTTTCTTGCATATTACAAAAGAAGAATCACCTTAAGTCATTTATGATACACTTATTTCTAATGGTAGAAAGACTTTAATGGCATTTCTAACCAATATAAAGATTTTCAAGATATATTTGAAAAGAAGAATGCAAATAATCTTGTGAAACATTGTTCCTACGACTACTCAATTTTCATTCAAGAAGGAGCTCAACTACCTTTGGACCTATTTACAATTTATCACAAAATGAGTTACTTAACTCAAAAATTATATTAAAGAGAATCTAGCCAAGAACTTCATGGACCATTCTAAATTTCTAATAAGAGCTCCAATTTTATTTGTGAAGAAAAAAAATGAATTATTGTAGATGTGTTTTGATCATTGAGGACTCAATAAGATCACCATCAAGAATAAGTACCCGCTACCTTTGATATAAGGACCTCTTCAGTACTTGAATCAAGCTAAGATCTATATAAAATAGATCTATAAGGGCCATACAATCTGGTATGCATCAAAAAAAAAAAAAATGGAAGATTGCATTTCTTAACTTGCAAGGCACATATCTTAACTTGCAAGCAAAGTTTTCTATATGTGCATCACATAGTTAGCTAGTTTTGCAAGCTATCAACACATGGTTAACTTATTAATCAAATTTCTAACCTATCAATTAATTGTAAATATATGTAAAGTCAAAACAACTTCTATAAAGCTTCTAAGAAGCTTCTAAAAAACATATTATGAAACAAATCTATTTTTATCTACTTCTACTTAATCATATAGGTAAATATTAGAATAAATATGTATATCTATGACAATTAGACATGGCTTGTAATTCCAACAATCCACTAACAGTAATTCTATGGCATAGCACTACAACTTTTGGAATGCAAATTTGGTCACTCTTACCAACTACATACTCAACGATAAAGTACATACATATGGCAATAATTAAATGAGAGTCAATTTAATCTAGTTCAAAGACCTTTCAAATGATAAACATTAGAAGAAGAAATCCTTGACCAAACTTAGTTTTGTACTACAAAGCAAGCAAATCAAATATCAATATATTGAAATCCTTGCATTAGTCTCAAGTTACTAAAATATGCAAAAATCATCCACTTTTTTTGAGCATGTAAGGATTGCCATATTAGATGCAAACAACCAAGTCACACAACTTCTCTAACTTTGAGGCCTCCCATCAGGGCCTCCATACCATCTATCTGGACTTGACCTATACACAACTACATCCAATGAGTTGGTGGCAATTGAATAATAGACATTATACCAAGTCTGGGTAGCCAATCCTATGGGAGATCTATGATTCACGACACTTAATCTAGTTGTAACATATATGAGTTTGGTCCTCTTCATCACCATCATTTGAAACCTTCCTTTCAACTCAAATGAATGGTGATGGAAAGAGCTCTCTTCAAGTAAAGAGGCAAATTTTTTCAACTACTTCACAAAGATAGGATATTGTCTAACCTTGGAAGCTACCACCCAAACATCTAAACTTCACTCCTTATATTTATAACTTAATCTCATAAGAATAGAATCCGAAGAAGCGACAAAACTTCTTTGAGACTCTCATAAATCAACCAAACTACAAGCCTTCTTGTGGCTAATCAGGGGATTTATCCATGGAGTGCATAAACGGATAAATGCATAAACGGATAGTTGGAATTTATAAATGGGTCTGCCAGCCACCTGCACCTATTGCACAAGAAGTCTCACTAAAACTATTGAACATTGCCTATAATCATGTAAGGTTGCATGCAGCACTTGACATTGTTTCCTCCTATTTGGCCACACCTTGACATTGTAATGAACTTGTCCTAGCAAGAGACCTTCACAACCATCCCCTTTAGTACCCAGCAATCTACAATGCAGAGCTATTAAACCCAACACTCATTACACATAGTGCTTGGCTTGAAACCATCTATGCTGGCATGACTCAAAAGAACCATCTTCTTAGTCTCTCAGCAACTTGCAGTCCAAAGAAAAAAGCAGAACTAGTACTAGAATCCAGCACCATCTGGTGTGACAACCAGGTCCAGTGCTCTGGTAGTCTCCTCCTCTCTAAGTGGATCCTATCACCAGTGTTCCTTAATCCCCCAACCCCACCTAGGGACTGGGCCCTCACTATACCTTTTAATCCTTAATCAACACCATTACTTTCACAACAAAAATAAAAATAAAAATAAAATTATATTAAAATGCCAACTCAATGCCCTGATCAATTTGATAATTTCTCAATCTATTTTTATGTTATTGAAAAAATATAGAAATTAAAAATAAATAAATTGTGAGCTGTTTGTTATTTTTATAACATGAATTAGGTGATTCACTATCTTAGTAACAGTTGGTTGCTACTTTAACAGACTCTTACTAGATGTGGTTGTGATCAAAGGCCTTGCAATCTTACTTTTGCAATGGTCAATTCCTTTGCCTCCTGAAGGTCCTATTTGTCATGTAAATTCCACTTTTCTAAAACTCTTTTCAACACTATTGAAAAGAAACACACACTCACACAATGAACAAGATACAATTTTATGGACTTTATTTGTTGCTGGGGGGTTGATAAATAGATGATGGAATAGAATAAACTCCTTTTTTCTTTTCTTTTTTCTTTTAGAAAGTAACTACTACCTTTGCTATGATTGATTGAAAATGGCCCACAAGGTAATAACCCATGGTAAATGTATTGTAAAGAGATGCACATAAATAGAACAAACAATGTGGTGGAAGAAAATTGAACTTTGTGAGCTTTTATTGTTTTATTTCCAAAAAATATGTGTGAAGATACTCATCATTCCATGAAGTCCACAAAAATACAACAAACTAAAGCAAGTTGAATGCTTTTTAATCAATATCCTTGAGCCAAGGCAAGCCAAGCCAAACTTCTTATTGTGCACTTTTTTATTTTTTATTTTGTATATTTTTTAATTTTTTATTTTGTATTTTTTAATTTTTTTTATTTTGCGATGGAATGGATAGAATCTCGTTGAAAACTTGGATGGTAGTGTGATGTTTGTGTTGGTTGTGCCCAAAACATGAAGCTTGGTTTTTGAGGGCTTCTGCAATCAGTGTACGAATCTAGCATACTCCTTTCTCTAATTGGACACAATTGTTGTATACCCTGGCATCCTTTCCATCTCCTTGCTTGTTGTATTATTTTAATTGTTCAATTTATGTATATGTGTATATATTTTCTGTGTTTTAATATATATATTTTATACACACACATACATGTGTTTTCATTCATGTAAGCATGTCTTTGTGAGTTTTAAAAGTAAATTGATTGTAAGTTCATTTTTTGATTTTTGATTTTTTGAATTTTAATAATTGAAGGAAAATGGAAAAGGTAACTGGAGTTGAATTAAAATGATATAATGTATCTCGACAATTTTGATATGTTGTTACTGAATAATTTCAAAAATCACATAACCCCTCTCTCTCTAACTTGTGAATGTATCTGTATATGCATGACAAACACACACTCTCTTGTATATATATATATATATGTATATATATATGTAATCAAATATAAGTTAACTTGCAGGAAATTGAATCTTAGGCGTGAATTTTGTCAATAACGTAGTTCATCCCACATTTAACATTCCAATTAAAGAACTTAACATGAAACTAATCACGTATTTATTCATAACGACATTGTATACAAACGGTCAACTTGTTCTTGCACCAAAGTCAATATCTTCACGTTCACTTGTTTTCAAAATATCAGCGTAATTTAGATTTGTCTGACCATGCTTTTTAAAGTACATTTACATTTTCACGTATCTATTGTTATCACCACATTCTATAAAATCCACGGTTTTGACGCAATATCCGTGACGAACGCACTAGTCTCTGAAAAGCATAGTTTTGAATATAAACCATGAGACCCAATTTTGCTTGTAGACCTAACTCGTACAATTTTTTCCCGGGAAAGGAAAACAAACAAAAATAGAGGTACTTAGTCCCCCTAGCCCTATAGTGGGTTACCCAACAATGAGTAAAATCCATTAATACCCAAAAGAGCTTAAAAAACGGAAAAATAAAGAGCAGAAAAAGAGTAAGTAATCATACCAACTGCAGATACGGAAACCCACTTTTTTCCATGAACAAGATTGAACCCCGTAAATATTAATAAATAAATAAATAAATCTCACCATAGCCCACAAAGTGGCTCGAATCCAAAGGCAGTGACAGGCAAGGGAAAGATCTTCCGGGAACTAAGGCCGCCAACCCCGGCCCGGCTGTCCGAATGTGACGCCCCGTGCGTCCGAACCTGGGATAAACCACCACCCTGGGCAGGGTCAGTCAGTCAACTGGCGACCCGGCCGGAGATTCTTCGCAAGTGGGTGGGGTTGTGGCTGCGCAGTGTGAATGGGACAAAGTGCTCTCTTCTCGCCACTTGCGTCGCCTCAGCGCCTGGATTCCGCGCAGGCAAATTGCGCTTCATCGTCGCGCCATCGCCATTCTGCGCCGCGAACGATCCCAGCTTACGAATTGTGGTGCGTCGATTGCCTTCGGATTGCGTCGCACACTGGCGCCCCCACACTGGCCCGCTTCCAAAAGGTGATTGCTCCCAAAAAACAAAAGCCTTTTCAGATGCTTTGAATTCGTGTTTTAGAGGCGAGTGTGGACAGAAGCCCTGGTTGCGGATAGTGCAACGGTAGTGAGGGAGAGGGGCGTCGTCACGAGGGCCACATCTTACAGGGCGTGGACTAAAGTGTTGGCAGCGCTCCGATCATAGATTGGCTAAAGCGGGACCGTGAATGATCCAGACCCCCGAGGAGGATTATTACGAGTTTTGTCTTATGCAATTATGAGTTCGGGTCCTTTCCCCCGAGCTCGCGAGATGGCTTTGGGAGGTGGCTGGATGGAATTTGTCGGGCCTCTAGCGTGACGGAGGTGCCAGGTGTTTGTAGACGTGGACCCCAGGGGATGACAGTTCATGTTAATTCTTGGGTTTGATCTGCGGCTGCAGCGAGGCGCAGAAGATGGCGTGACGAGAAGGAGAAAGAAGATGTGAACAGGAAGTGGTGAAGGAGTTGGGGGATTTGTCGGAGAGAATGTTGCGTGGGCTGTGAATGGGCTTTGCGGGGAGTGGATGATGATGACAGGAGCCTGTTGCGGGTATGGTTCTTGACTGATCAGGTTGTTGTGTGCTCGTGAGATGGTTGGTAATGGAGCTCGGAGTTGTGGGTTGTGAGCTTTTCCTGGGGGATGGGAAGCAAGGAGATGTTTCTGAGGCGCGCGGAAAATTTTGGGACCACGGCAGGAAGAACTTGAGCGTGGGTTGAAAAGATCCGTGGTAGAATCCCGGAAGTGTGGTATGCCAGTGGCATGGCGCTGCGGTTGAAGCGAGAGGATTATGATTCTGTGAAGCATGACAGGTGCTTCTCTGAGTGGACGGTGAGCATTTCCCGTGCGCTTCGTCTGTGTGCCGTCGACGTTGAAGTTTATCTTTTGATTCTGAAGTTGCAAATTGATGAGGTTGTGTTGAATGGATACTGGTTCGGGTTTCATCTTCCCTGTCCACTCGGTTTTTCACTTTCGTTTTCGAAGTTTTCATAGTTATTATCATTAAAATTGTCTGTTGGGACTCAGATTCTCGTGGGTCCGTCCGACTGGAAGGAGCAAGCCACTGGTAGAGAAGCTACCGATCGATTCCGGTCCCGCAACCTTCCCAGCCCTACTGGAGGGTCTGGAATTTATGAGTTGGGGGTTACATTGCCTGCTTGGAAGACTGTGGATCGGCACAACGAACACGGTATCGTTAAATCTGAGGATGTCATAGTAGTTTATGTTGGCCACGCTGACAATATTCGTAAACGGCTCCAGCGTTACGGACAAGCTGGCGCACATCTTGAGGGAACAAGGTCAGACATCGTCACTTGATATCGTGTGGATTTATCCAACTTTTCCTTCTCAGTTTTAATTCCTATGGAATCTCTCCATTATATATATATATATATATATATATATATACATATACATATACATTTATATACATATAAATACTCACGCACTCTCATTCTCATAGTATATTGTCATGTTATATTGAGGTTTGATTCTCCATCTGTCCGCAGGTCTCTGAATTCGTCGAATTTTTCAGCACCGACGAAGTCATTAAGTTTTTTGTCACCTAACAAACCCTCGAGGTCCAGCTCTGTACAGTTTGAGGATATGCACATGAGTAATGGGGAGGAATCTATTGTGAACAAACTCAGGCATAGAAGTGACAGCGACAGGCATATTAGCAGCAATGGTAGGAGGCACAAAAACATAGAAAGGCAACCGAGCAACTTCAACATAAGTATTCCTGTGGCTGAGCCCGTGTTTTCGGCTGACTCGGGTGCCAGAGGATCTCCGCGAGGCCCCCGATTGTTCTCCGAGGTCTTCGCACTTGGGTGCTCTATAGCTTATCGTTGGTCATCGGTAAGGAACTTAGCATGCTCTTCCCATTTCAAAATCAGAAACTGATCTCGTAACGTACTCGAAACTTGAAGTTCAACAATCTCTTTGAAACCACAATTTGGACCAACTGAGCTAGCACCAGTGTTGAGGCTCTGTTTTAAGTCGTTGTGAAGGTCTTTGAACTTTGCCAATATGGTGTTCCCATCACACATAATTTATTCAGTCTTAGCTCTCCGGAATAATCCTAATATCTGTGTTGCGCAGACTAAAACCAAAGATGTAGCGGAGTTTTTGGTATCAGAGCTAACTGATGCATTTGATTACGCTTGGAACCGGGGCGGGAACTCTGACGTGCGGTCTCAAGATATCCTCGGGAAAATTGTGTTAGGTAAAAGAGGTTATGGGTCAGCGTGCTGTTCTATAAATAACTCGAAGTGGTCTCGGCTTGTATTTAAAAGAAAGATAGTCGGCATCAAAATCTTGGGCGCGCACAAACCTTTAGAGGCAAGGTCGCGAAGGAGGTCAGGACAGAGAGGGATAGGGGGTGGCTTGTACCTTGTACTGAAGAAGAGTCCCCATATGATGATCATGGGCGGGAAGTCCGCGAAACACTGTGAATTTACGAAAATAGACATACCCGTAGATCGATGCGGGGTATTATTAGATAATGGGCTTGTTTGTAATGCTTTACCTCAGAAGGGACGCAAACGGTGTCCCATTCATGTGGATATGAGAAAGTTAAGGCAAAGGAAGTCATCACAGGTAGCTGCTCAGGATTCAAGGAGCGGGAGCTTGGCGAGTGACTCGTACAGCATTGATTCATGCAGTATGGACTCGCACAACTCGCGAGGGATTCCAGCGCGGTCAGCGCCAAGCTCGCCTTGTTTCCCTTTCCTAACCACGAAAAAGATGCCGAAGGCTCCTGAGGATTCGAGGAAGAGAGGGAGTGTGTCTTTCAACACATGGTTGAGCAAAGGCGAGATCCTCAAGGTGAAGAGTTTTGAGTGGTTGCTGGCGATGGAGGAAATCAAAGGCAGGGGCAACAACAACAACGACTGCAGCACGTCGCCGATCCTGAAGCCGGAGGTACTCTCACCTGACACTAAGCCCAATGAAGAAAATCCAGTGCGAGTGAGCAGAATCTCTCTGAATCTCTCCCCAGTTATGGAGACTGTGCGTGAGCAGCCAACTGAACAAGACGTGTACTCTCCGACGGTGGACAATGGCATGCCACATACAATTGTGTCATGGAGATCATCTGTTCGGTGGCCTCCAGCTTCGTTGCGAGACTCTTATGTTACCACCAACAACCCTTCACAGTTTCCTAGAATAAGTTTTTCATGACAACCCTTGATACACACCGTGAATGGTCCTACTGGGTTGCATACGGATCGTGTACAATTGGATTAGTGGGTGACCCCTGTAATGACGGCAGTTCCTCCTGTACCATAGAATAGTGGCATTTTTTGAGTTTCTTCCAGCGCTGTTGAAGCTGTTTATGTAGCATCAGGAAACTCTCGTTTCTGCTGATCGATTTTTTTTTTTTCAGCTGTCAGTAAAAGGAAGGCACTGAATGCATCGTTAAGTTAATATCTCTAGGGTCATGACAATCCAGCTATAACAGATTGTGCAGAAGCATGGTTGTAGCTCCATGATTTAACATATTTCTGCATTCCACTTCACGATGTATGATTACTGGGATTACACGATAGAAACAGTCAAAGCCCTGTCCTTAACGGCACTGTTAAGAGTCTATGCACGTCTTTTTTGATCTATGTAGAAAGTTGGAGGTTCGTCACAGACGAGCAGGATTGTTTTGTAGTTTTGCTTGTCTCTGTCGAAGCCAGGGTAACCACACTTAGCGACTACTACCTGCCCCTACAACGGAATGGTCTTGCAGTATTATTTTGAAGTTGTATTTCTTCATACTCATCTCTATATGAACGTATGTATGTATGTGTATATATGATTTACTTCACAGGCCTTGTTAAATTTTCATAAGCATGCGGCTTACAAGTCAAACCTCTGTAAATCATCTAGTGAATTTGTCTCACTGAAATTGTTCCGTTGCTGCTGTTTTTATGCTGAACTTTGAGCAATAAAGAGGAGCAAACCGTTGAATCTAGAAATCTTGCATCGAAGTTCGCGGTTGACCCCGGCATCTATACGTTATCTCATCGTGTGAGTGAAGAAATCTCAGCACCATCGTGGTTTGGTATTCAAGAAGCCCCTACCGTCCAATTACTGCTTGTCACTTCAATAGGTCATTGCTTCATTGTCTCTTCATCCATATCAAACCAACTCTCTTGTGCGAACACAACTGTCCTTTGGCAAAAGTCGGCGAGGTGGACGAAACTCAAATCCTTTGAGCTCATGGAATGTTTTTCGTCCGTCTATTTTTGAATTCATCTATTTCCAACTGAAAGTGGAGCTCAAATCCCAGTTCTTCTCAAACCTGTAGATTGGGGCCCAACTTTTCTGTAACCATCGGCAGCTCTTTAACAAAGTGCCACAAACAAGCTCCAAACTTCACCGTATGAAGCTGTGCACTGCCTTCACAGTCTCCCAATCTATGCCGATTCAAATCTATGTGATTGCATCAGAGGGACCCTAGCTATTGGGAGTATTATACAGTTTAGTACACTAGTCTTTCAACATAGTATACAATCTATTAGATGTAACTCTACACCAAGAGTTGTGACTGTTGGTGACACTTTTGTACACACAATATAATGTGTAATGTTGATCACATATAATATGACATAAGATGTTTCCAACAAAATATTAGAGCTATAGAAATATTTGAACTTTAAAAATATAAGAGTAGATGAATATTGTAGCTGAAAAAGGATTTTTGAAATTACAAATTAGATTGTAATGATAACAATAAAACAATCTATTGTAATAGGAAAGGTTGATGAAGAACTTGAAGTTCTTCAAAACATGAGAAGCAATTTTAAACTTGAAAATAACAACATACAAACCATAAGGAAAGATATAATTGAATTGTTCAAGAATAAGTTAATAAATAATTTCAAATCAACTTTAAATTAAGAGTATTGAAGATGACACAAAAGATGGACATCAATTATGTTCTAAAATTTGATGGTTCATATTTTAATATATAAAAACATAAAATAACATTAGTTTTCAAGGCTGAAAAATTATGGCCTATAGTAAGTGGTGAAAAACTCTTATTAGTGGAACCAACAATAGTTGAAATTAATATCAAAATCCCAACTTTACTTATCATAGGAGTAGGGAATATAAGTGCATGGATAGACAAGGATATCTCGTCTTTAACTATAATAAAAAATTATCTAAAAAAAATATTATTTCACATATACAATCTTGTAGATCAACACATTTAACATGGCAATAATTAGTAAATTTTTTTGAATCACAAGATATAGTATCAAAAGTGTATTTAAAAGACAAGTTATATACTTTAAAAATGAGAGAAGATGATAGTGTTATTAAATACATATATACCTTTAGAGTATATTTGGCATAATTATTGGTGACACGATTAGAAATTCTAAATGAGGAAGCAATTTTCACCTTAATGAGAAGTTTCTCTCTAAGTTAAAGATTCTTCATTAGCTCCTTAAAAAGGTAGCTTGGAGTCACATTACAATTTTTGATAACAGATTTGATCTAGGAAGAAACTCTCATAAAAAATATGAGTTTAACATCTGATAATATATCAGCCTTATATGTAGACAAGAAAATTTAGAATCATAATAAGAAATCTTATTTGAACAAAAAGTTCAAAAAGAATTCACAAGAAGAGAGTATTGCCTCTAAGCCACATGAAAATAATGTTTTTGCCATTGACAAGAAGTATTTTTTTTTACAAAAACCACATCACTTGATTAAAGATTATTGAATAAGAATATGAATTAAAAATTATAAAAATAGAAAAAAATTATTAAAAAATCAAAAAATTATATATAGCAATATTTATAGTAAAAGATAATTCAAATTCAATGTAGTATGTGGACTTGAAAGCAACTCAATACATGTGTCATGAGTTAGAAGGGTTTATCAAATATATTAAAAGTGAAGATAAGGAAGTTGGCTACTTAGAAGATGATACTTTATAATATATAATAGAAAGATATAGTAATATAAATGTAAGACTTACAAATGGAGATGAAAAAATCATATCTTATATTTTATATATACCAAGACTTGCAATGAATTTGTTTTCTATCAAATAATTGGTTAAGGCAAGAAAATAATTTGTATTAGAGTTAGAGAAACTATACTTACAAAAAGATTTGGTCAAATAATTGTAATATGAAATTAAATCCTAATCTATATGAATTAGATATAACAATTCTATCAAACAAGCATCAAATTGCTATTCCAACTACTACACAATTAAACAAAGCTAATTTGTAGCACTTAAGGCTAGAACACATAAATCAATAAAGACTAAAATAAATATAAACTATGAAAAAAGAGATTGATCTCTTTGATGAAAAAAAAATTACTTTATGTTAACTTTGTATAGAAGATAAGCAATATAAAGAAAAAAATTCTACACAAGATGTATAAAGAACTACACAATTATTAGAACTTATACATTTTTACATTTGTGATTTTATATAAGTAAGAACATATTTAGAATATACTTATTTCATTACATTTATTGATGATCTATCAAGATATTGCTATAGGTATTTGATGAAATATAAATTTGAAGAATTTGAAAAATTCACTTTAAACAAAAACTTTGTAAAAAATAAATTAATTTTTAAAATAAAAATATTAAGATCCAATAATGGAGGTGAATACAAATCAAATAAGTTTAAAGACTTCTGTAACAAATAAGGAATCAGACAATCTTATATTACATTTTATACACCACAAAAAAATGGTATTTTTAAAAGAAAGAATAGACCATTAATAAGAGCAATTCTTGTAATGCTACCTTATTAAAATTTGCCTACAATTTTTTGAGGTGAAGCACTCCAAATATCAAAATATCTCTAAAATAGGAGCCTTACAAAATCTATACAAGATAACAAAAAACTATTGGAGTTATAGTACAAAAGACAACCAAATTTATCAAATCTTAAAGTTTTTGGATACAAAGCTCATGTTTTCATTCTTAAAGAAATAAGAAAGAAGCTAAAATCTCATTTTCAAGAATTTGTCTTCTTAGGCTATAGTGGAGAATCTAAAGCTTACACACTCATGAATACACAAAATCAACAAATCCTCATTTCAAGAGTTATTCTCTTTAATGAGAATCTATATGATAAAAAAATAAAACCATTATTGTAAAAGAAAAATGATGAGCTTTTAATTGATTTATAATTATTTAATCATCCTCCAACAACTATAAGATCTAATGGTAAAAACATATCTCTTGCTCAAGGAATATCTTCACAACCAATACAACTACTACAAGATACACATATATTTGATTAGCAACAAATATATAGCAATTTTTAAAATAAGGAAGGACAACTCTTTTCTTGCATTGATATCATTGAAGTCTTCTTTCAACTATCATTACATAATGATTAAGAAATCTTACCTCTTAACAATAATGAAGTCAATTCTACATTGAAAGAACAAAGTCTTCCTTGTAGTTCTTGACCTATAAGAACTATTAAACCAACTAAAAGTTTGTTAGAGTCTATATAAAGAAAAAAAAGAATATAAATATCAAGGTAATAAAAATCACCAAGCCCACCTTGTTTCTACCACCGTAGAAGCCTCAAAATCTATTTAAGAGAGAATGGAGAGAGTTGATGCACAAGAATGGCAAAAAATAATTGATGCTAAAATTAAATTTTTAGACAAAAATAATACATGAAAAATGACCAATTTTCCTTCCAATAGAAAAGCAATCAATTCAAAGTGGATTTTTAAAATTAAAACTTAAGCTAATGGAATTATTAACAAGTATAGCAATGCTAGTTGTAAGAGGTTTTACTCAAATTCAAGGTATTTATTATATGGAGACATTCTCTCTTGTAATCAAATTTAACTCCAATAAAGTTCTTTTTGCCTCAGCTACTCAACATAATTTGGAAATATATCAATTAGAAGTTAAAATATTATTTTTAAATGATTTTATAGAAGAAGATATCTATATGACTATTCTTAAAGGTTTATCTAGTATACATACTAATATGGTATGTAAAGTATATAAATCCTTATAAGACTTTAAACAATCTTCAAGGGTATGGTATCAAAGATTAGATCAATACTTAATTCTTCACAATATTATGTACTTTATATGTAGCTTATAATTTCAAAATGAAAGAAGCTTAAACAAAATAAATACTTTGTAATAAGTTTATTAAAAAAAAGATTTGATAAAAAATTATATAGTATTTTTTATTTTTAGATATAATAAATATGTATATATATATATATATATATATATATATATGTGTATGTGTATGTGTATGTGCGTGTGTGTATGTGTATGTGTGTATATGTATGTGTATGTATGTATGTATATATATTGGCAAAATTATAAACAAAATAACAAAACTCATTTGAGGAATAAATTTTTCTTTATATAAGATAATACTTTTGAAAATATATTAAATAGTATTTACTTGATATTATTATTACTTTTAGTATTGATATTTTATTTTTTATTTTTTATTTTATTTTAATATTTTTAAAGTTATTTATTATTTAGATATTTTTATTTTTATTTTATTTATAATTATTATTTTGATATTTCTTGTAATTAGTATTTTTGATTCATGTAATAAAATA